TTTTTCTTTAATAAATACATATATTTTATCTTATATCTTATCTTATTTTCTTCTTGCTCTATTGAGAGAGCATTTTATTAGAAGTAAATTCACGTATATTATCTTATTAAAAAGATAATCATATTTTTATTATAAGTAAAACACGTATAAATTATCTTATTAAAAAGATAATTATATTCTTATTAGAAGTAAATCTCACATACATCATCTTATTGAAAAGATAATCAGTTGTATAATTTCTTAAAGCTATAAAAGTTAATAACTGCCATAAATATAGTTACTATTACTATTTTAAAATAATTACATACACATAATCTTAAAATGGTAATAATATCTTAATTATAAAAAGATTATAGAATATTAAAATTAAATAAATAGTAAGAAGATAATAAAAAAAGAATAGAATAATAAAAATAAGCAGATAGTTATAAAATAATAAAAAAAAATAGAATAATAAAAATAAGTAGATAGTTATAAGGAATATAAAAAAATAAAATTATATGAATAATATTTTAATAATATAAAGATCATAAAATATTAAAAATAATAAATAAATAATAATATAATTATAAATAGATAATAACTTAATATAAATAAGTTACAATATTATAATTTATTTTTTTTTAAAAGTATTCTTATTTACAAGTATTTATTTAGTTTTATTTTTTTAAATAAATATAATTATTAATATTATTCTTATAATAACTAATTATATATTATATTTAATTATTAATTTATTAATTTAATCAAGAATAGTAATACTATTTATAATTTTTATCTTTTTAATTTATTATTTTTAATATAATATTAATTATCTAATTATTAATTATATAATATTTTTAATATATATCTTATTTCTTAAATATTTTATTAATATTTTAAATTATATTAGATTAATATTAGATTTAATATTTTACTAATTTATTTAATATAATACTTAATATTTCATTAATTAATTTATATAAATTAAATAATATTTTATATAAATATAAATCAATATAATATAATTTAAATTATAAAAATCTTTATAATTATCAAATAAAATAAATTAAATCAAATTAAACAAAATCAATCAAGAAATAAATAAAATTTAAAAAGTTAATATTTCTAATATCTAATTATTTTTTTATTTTCTTTAATTTATTTTGTATTTGATTTTAATCTATTTAATTAATAAAAATTAATCTCTTATAATTTTATTTATATAATTATTTATTTAATTTATTATAAACTTATTATTTATCTTATTAATATTAATTAAAAATAATAAAAGATTAGAATATTATAATTATATCTTATTATTTTATTAATAGATTTATAAATTCTATTATTATCTTTTTTTTATTTGCTTTTTTAGAAGTATTTTTCTTACAAATAATATTTAGTTCAACTCTTTTAATTAAATAATTATTAATATTATTCTTATTATAATTTTAAATAATTAAATATTATATTAGTTTATTCTTTAGTTCTTCAATTAAGAATAGAAATAATATCTAGAAAACAAATTTACTTAAGAGTATAAAATAAAAAATCTTATTAGAATTTTTTATAAATTTGCCTTTTATATTCAAAAAATCAGCTTGTAAAATCAATTACAAAAATATTTTAAAAATTAATTAAAAATAATTTTAATAAGTATTATATAATTAAACTTTATTTATCATATTATAAAGATTTTTTATTATAAAAAATCATATATAAATTTTTGTAATTGATTTTGCAAGCTGATTCTTTGGATATTTTTTGAATATAACATGCAAGTTTATGAAATATTTTTCTAAGATTTTTTATTATATAGTTATAAGTAAACTTGCTCTCTAGATATTAAAGAATATATATACAAACATTTATATTATTTGAATAATTATTTAATTAAAAAACTAATTGCCATTTTTTTTACCACAGCAGCAAACCAATTTGAATGCCAAATGTAAATTTATAATATAAAATACGTTTTCTAAAATTTGTGAAAACTATGCAAACATTTACATCATGCGATTACTTTAAAGAATAATACAAAGACTATTTAATAATATCTATAATACCAAAATTACGATGTTAATAAGATGCACCCATCCCAACCAATCCAAGATCATTTCGTTCAACAGGCGCGAGCCCAAGACGTGTTTTCGATATTAGCCAAACTTTTCTTGCCCATCTTGAGATAGGCTTTGACGACAATTTCACAAGCATACGACCAATTTCATAACAAACAAAAAACACAAAACACCAAATCACAAAATACCAATAACTTATCGTGTGCATCGTGAATTGGCGTGGATGGCAAAATGTACCCTGGTATGAATACATACCACGAGTTTCAGTGTAAAAAGAAGTCCAGTAGTCGGCAAGTAATATTATAGGTAACATTTTGTAATAAGCTGGATTAGGTTTCGGATAGGCTCGAGGTCGAGTTCCAGTAGCATCAAATAAAAAGCTAGTCCGCTTTTCACGTAGTTCCGACATTATTCCGGCAACTGATCTATCTTTGGCATTGATGGTAGTCCACGCGTGAGCACCACTCGAAGGTGAGTGTACATCGGAGCCAGTAAGCATTAATAAATTATGGTTTTGAGCAAATTTATAAGATTCCCAGTCAAAAGTATCTCCGTTAATGATTTCGAATGCGTCAACGCCCTATTTTCAATAAATTTTTGTTAATGGAGAAACTTTATTATTAACAGCAGCATTACACTCACCCATTCTAAAAGCTGTTCACGTGATGGATGATTCCGCAATGTACCAGTTTGATACCAAAACTCTTGATTTATACATATATAATCTTGCATTAATCTCATTATCTTTTTACTTAATTTAGAAACAATTAAATTGAATTACCGGTGCTATTACTCCATGGAATATGATTCACCGAAACAAGACCACCAAGCTCATGAGTGCGTCTTATAGCATTTTGTAAATCTTCATCTGATGGGAAAGGAGGTCCAAATGGAATTGATTCGTTAATACCTATTAAATTCATATGAATGCGGCAGGAGCTACGATAGCGAACGCAAAAAATAAATAATCGTAACGATAATGTTTTAAAAAACACTCGTTCATTTACCTATATTCCATTGCTGGAATTACCACAATAGAATCATTGAATTTTTCATGCGCAATTTGTTGAGCAAGTAACCCGCCTTTAATCGTATTGTGATCACTTACGATAATTGCACTATATCCATTCGCTATGTCAATGTAAAAGGTTGAGTTATTAGAGAAAGACAGCAAAGATAATTGAAATCACAAGGAAAATTATATAGCATATATATATATATATATATATACCAATTGCCCATTCCAAAAGCATTTCAGGTTTCATTGCGCCATCAGACTCTGTAGTATGCGCATGACCATCCAATAACAAATTTATTTCACCAAATGACTCATTGATTGGTTTTAGATAACTTAATGGCTCGATGGGTTTCCACGAAAAGTCAATGGCATCATAAAGATAAGGGCTTGGAACAGCTTTATATTTCACAAAGGTCAACACGGTAAATAATACAATCAATATTAAGATAAACGATAATAATCGTCTACAAGCGCCTCGAAAATATGGTCTTATTTTATGTCGGGGCATATAGAAGGATATCATGTTTTTTATATATTTAACTTGTGGAGTCGATTCAATTACATTCTGAAGGTTCGAAGTAGACCATTTACGCGAGGGTCTAATAGGAGAAAGTTGCGGAGATATAGGTGGTGACGCCGGGGGTGAATTGAAAGAAAACAACAAAGGTCGTTCAATGTCACTTCTAATGCTACGAGTATCATTATCAGAGTCTTCGTTTTGATAACTATCAGGAATAACTGGTGGGTTTTCAGTCAGTGCTGAATACATACTATTTCTAGGAAATCCGTTTTCGCTCATATTTAATTTCGATAAAATCAGGGGATCATCAATAAATTTATTCAACAGATATCGATGGTGATATCCTGTGTCCCCGTTTTAAGACTCACCATTTAGAGAATCTTGATAAACAAATCCCAATATCGATATGCATTGATAACAAAAAAACTTGAAAAAAACAATTTTTTGTTTCTATTGTCTATTGGTGGAAGTTGTACCATTTCACAAATTATTTTTAGGCACAAAAAATTTTAGGAATTATGATATTGAGACATTTCTTTCTGTAAAATGATTGAGAGTGACTTTATTATCCCTTTTAGAACTGAGACAAGCACTTGTCAAGAGCTATTCATTTATCCCACAACAATCGAGATAACCAAAAATCAATAGATTTTCACCACTTTGAATTTTATTCGATGTCATTTTGGTCGATTAAAAAAGTATGCAAAAGAATTCCAGATTGAAAATTTGTCTCTTACCATCAAAGCACTTGAAATCGTGGCCCCCAATCAAACCTAGTCAACTCTCCCTAAATGCAATTCGTCGGGACCGTGTATGACTCTAAGGTGCATTTCGAGAGAGATTGCATTTATAGAGATAAAATAGTTAGAGGCTTATAAAGCGCGGGACTAACCAAGAGCGTGCATTTGGAGAGGGTGATCATCACATCTTTCACTCCCGACAAAATATCATCAATTTTATGTTATTCCCTTTTAAATATGAATAATCTAGCAGGGAGATAGATAGATACCTCTATGCAAGAAAAACTCTCTGTAGGGAGAAATCAAAATAGTTAAACATTTATATTAAACATAATAACAATCTCGCTATAGGAATGGTCCGATTCTAAAGAAGGATCACTGTATCAATATTTGTAAGAAATTACAATAAATAATTATCTACGTGCATTATGTCTTTGTATAACGATCTTTTTTCGGCTTTCAAAAAAAAAAAAACGTTTATGATTTATGATTAGGTTCAAATATAACGATACTTCCCGATATATCGGTATAAAAGAACAAAAATACGTCGTGTCATGGCATGATCGTGATGCAATATTTATATTGATCCCGCCAAAAGTATGATAATTTCTGCATGAGTATATCGTTAAACACGCTTTGTTATTTTTCCTAAATTGTCGTGTTTTGTATTTTTTAACAAGGAAAAATCGAACCTTCTTAATATCAATATCACTATTACTATCCTATGTCTGCAAACGAGGAAAAAAGTGAGTTTAAGGACGATAAAGTCATTACAGAACCTACAGAATCGGAAAATAACGAACAGGATACAAAGCCTAAGCAACTCAAATATGACGACGGTTTTTCGGAATTAGAAGACGAGGAACCACGAAAACGCAGAGTGAAGGCTGGCAATAAAGTAAAGAGAACAAGGAAACCTAAAAATGAAAAATCAACGCGTAAAACATCAAAGACTGACAGTAACGAAGACGCGGGCTCCAATTTGGACAATGATGAAATAAAGAACAAAGAAGATGAAGAATCATCGTTAACGCGTAAAATATTAAAGACCGATAATAAAGAAGATGCGGGCTCCAATTTGGACGACGATGAAGCAGTAGATAAAGAAGAGAGTAAGGAATCTCGAAAAAGAAAGAGTAAATCTAAAGCTGCTAGTAAATCAAAAAGACGTAAGAAGGCTATAATCGAATATGAACGCGATGACGGGGCCGAAGATTACCAGCCAAGTGATGAGGATGAAGACGAACCTGTCACAAAACATGCAATTCAAAAATCTAAAGGAGTGGTAGGCAAAACATTTGGTTTTTATCCTTACACGAAAAATTTTTGATCGTGAAATTAATCAAAACAACGGAAATTATAATAGCAGATTGATGATAACGAGGAGTTAAACAAATTGAAAAAGTTGGTTTCAAAATGCGGCGTACGAAAAGTGTGGTATGTTTTTTTTGTATCTTATTTGATCACTTGTATGCCATGCTAATTGGATATTTCTATTTAGGTCAAAAGAGCTGGCCAATTTGGAATTAGACGAAAAAATCACCAAAGTAAAATCTATTCTGGTGGATTTAGGCGTGAAAGGTACTATTAATTATCAACATCAACATCAACATCAACATTGTTGTTATTATTATTATTATTATTATTATTATTATTATTATCAGTAATTATGAATTATAAGCTTTCCTAATCAAACAATATTTATAAATGTAGGAGAACCAACTGAAGCGAAATGTCTTAAAGTGCGAAAAGCTAGAGAACTTCAATCAGAATTGAAGGAAATAAGCAAGGTTAATATAGTTTCTGATGAAACGAAAGAATCAAGACGAGCAAGAGCATCAAGAGGAATTACTAGTGCTACTGTTGGTCGTAGAATATAGCTTAAATGACATTAATAAACATAAATCATATGCGAGTTACATGTATATATATATTGATAATGATTTGATTGATTTGATTTAATTAATCTATTATAATTCATTTTCTGATTCTTGAACTTTTTATTCTTCGGTGGAGGGTATATCAAATAGTTATATATGTGAGACGAAAATCTATTAAACATCAAGTTCAAATGATTGTTTTATTTATTTATTTGATGAACTTCATCAAATTCTCTTAATAGGTAGGGAATGTTGAAGATTAGCGTTGGCTCAAAGCTTTCATTCGATTCCGATTGGAAAGCATGGTGATAGCAATGCATGATATCACGAATCCAATAAATTTGAAAAACGCTTCACGAGATATTTGTCGTTCTTCTTCAGGAGTTCGAAAAGAAGAAAATATTCGACGGAGATTCGGGAATGCCATTTTATGATATGAGTATCAGAAAAAAAAAGTTGAATGTTGCTGTTGTATATGTAACCTCGAAAAATATATCGACGTAAATAGATTGATCATCATTAGTGGCTGAGTGAACTTGAAAATGCATGTTTTATTTTATATAAATCCAAAAACTGATTTAATTGGAAACATTCAACAAACCTCTACAATGACCGATTTTCGTATTCCAAAACCAAAGTTTTTCACTACCACAAAAAAAGGTCATTTGACGTTGCTTGCGTCGTTGCAAAGCATTTCTACACGTTAACTGAAAGCTTTTCCTATTTTTCCTTATTTCTTACTAAAAGCGGCTTGAATTTTTCTGATGCATTGATTAGGCGAGAACTACGAACTTAAATCAGATCTAAATAGTGAATATCGAGATCGTCGAAAGGATGCGATAAAAAAAGTTATTGCCAATATGACAGTCGGAAAAGACGTGTCGGGACTATTTCCCGACGTGCTAAAAAACATGCAAACAGAGGATCTTGAACAAAAGAAATTAGTGTATCTTTATCTGATGAATTATGCCAAAACACAGCCAGAATTGGTTATTTTAGCTGTAAATACATTTGTGAAGGTATGAAAAATATGGGAGTCAAAGACATGGATTTGTTTATCTATTTGTTAACACGCGTGACTTATTCTCCACAGGATACCGATGATGGTAATCCATTAATTCGAGCATTGGCCATTCGAACAATGGGCTGCATTCGTGTTGAGAAAATTATTGATTATCTTTGCGAGCCATTACGGAAATGTTTAAAGGTAAACATATTACAAATTTTAAAAATCATAAGAGCACAAATTGTATGACTGATCATAATGATGAATAAAAAGGATGAAAACCCGTATGTCAGAAAGACAGCTGCTATATGTGTAGCAAAGTTATATGATTTAAATCCTGCGTTAGCTACAGACAACGGTTTTGTTGCAACCCTGCAGGATATGGTTTCGGATTCAAATCCCATGGTAAATTAAAATGGTTTTATAATCACCATAAAAAAATTTACCTCCTTACAAGTTTTTTTTTTTTTAATTACAATCTTTTTTCAGGTGGTCGCCAACGCTATTACAGCATTGGCTGAAATTAATGAGGCATCCGAAACAAAAGACATATTTGTAATTAATATTACGACCCTCAATAAACTATTGGTGGCTTTAAACGAATGTACAGAGTGAGTGTGTATTGGGAATTGGCGTCGCAAAATACAAAGTTTCTTTGATTCACCGCATTATATCTTCTTCAACATATGCGGTTAATCAAAAAATCTTTTACAATATAACCACCTGATTGTTTAATTGCGTATATGCGATTGTTATTTTGTTTATTTGATCTTGATCTTTTGATCATCATCACCATCATCATCATCATATTATGATAAATAATATCAGGTCGGCGAACAAATGGCGAGTAAGTTCGTATACTACTGTCTCTAGAATCGCAAAAAATTCATGAAAATGTTCATGACGAACTATAAATCATATTAAACGCAATTAGTGATAACCGTATAATGGCAACTATATACGCTTTTCGATCACCAGTGTGGACATATAAAGTCATGTTCATAATCATTGATATATCTTTTTTCGTAACATTTTGTATTTAAGATGGGGGCGAATAGCCATTTTGACAGCATTGGCAGAGTATCGACCTGTTGACGAAAAAGAGGCCGAACATATTATTGAACGTGTAGTTCCGCAGTTTCAACACGTAAATGGGAGCGTGGTTTTAGCTGGAATAAAGGTGCGACAAAGATTAATAAGATTGGTATCCCTCTTCATTTACGTGAATTAAATCATAGACTTTGGATTTTCTAAAGGTAGTCATTTTATATATGCGAGTAATAAAAACTGAAGAGCTTATTCGTCAGCTAGTAAAAAAAATGGCACCTCCATTAGGTATTAACAATTGATATTTTTGAATTTGATTTGTTCAATATATAAGAATTGGAGAATTAACATTAAATTTTTATTTCTTCTAGTAACTTTACTCTCATCAGTCCCCGAAGTACAATATGTCGCGCTTCGAAACATCAATCTAATATTACAAAAGCGACCTGATATATTGCAACACGAGATACGCGTCTTCTTCTGTAAATATAATGATCCACTCTACGTAAAATTAGAGAAACTGGAGATAATGATCAAGTTGGCGAATGATAAAAATGTAGATCAACTATTATCAGAATTGAAGGAGTAAGCCATACTACTGACAGTGACTTTTTCATTGCGACTTTTCATGATTAAAAAACACCAATTTTTGATTACCTTTCTATTCTCTTATCAGGTATGCTTCTGAAGTGGATGTTGATTTTGTGCGAAAATCCGTCAGAGCTATTGGGCAATGCGCAATCAAGATTGAAGAGTCATCTGAAAGATGTATCAATGTTTTGCTAGATTTGATTAATTCCAGTAACACAATGTCAGATATGGCTAATAGCAAAGTTAATTACGTGGTTCAGGAAGCCATCGTTGTAATAAAGGTACATTTCATTCTTTCGAGTTATTATGAACGTTATTGATTTCTGATTTGGGTTACGACCTGACAAAACAATTTCTTGTTTTAAGGATATTTTTAGGAAATATCCACGAAAGTATGAGGGAATTATCCCTACATTATGTAAAAATTTGGATGCCTTAGATGAGCCTGAGGCTAAAGCATCGCTGATTTGGATTATTGGTGAATATGCAGAGAAAATAGATAATGCAAATGAATTATTAGAATCATTCTTGGAGACTTTTCGAGAGGAAAATGTGCAGGTATTCATTGTCGAATATTTTACGTTTTTGATCAAATAAACACGATTTGTAATGATTTTTAATTGTATTCAGGTGCAATTACAATTGATCACTGCTACAGTAAAGGTCTTCTTGAAAAAACCACAAAAATCTCGAGACATCGTACAACAAGTATTACAGATTGCTACCACGGATTGTGATAATCCTGATATTAGAGATCGGGCCTATGTGTATTGGCGATTATTGTCTACAGATCCTCAAGCGGCAAAGGTATAAGAAATCTTGAATGATCGTCGATAAAGTTAAAAATTTCCCTACTAAATGTCGTTATTTTAGGCAGTAGTACTGTCCGAGAAACCAGCAATTTCCGTTGAGAATCAATCGATATCGGGTCCTCTGTTGGACGAACTTATCAATCATATATCCACCCTAGCTAGCGTGTATCATAAACCACCAGAGTCATTTTTGGGACGTGGAACATTTGGCGCGGATGCCGTTCAGCGAAGAGCGATCGAGTATGATGCGACGAATTATAACTTTAGCAATAATTCATTTTTAGTGTTACTCACTCTGTGTATTAATTTGTTATAGGGAACAAGAAGAAGAATCGCGTGAATCACCGATTCAAGAACAAGTCAAAAACGAAAATCTCTTGGATCTCGACTTCTCTGATACATCTGCTACACCGACGTCTGCTAATCCACCATCTGCTGTTTCGCCATTCTCCGAATCAACATCAACTAACATTGACGATCTGTTAGGGCTTTTTGGTAATGATACTAAATTCGGAACAACCGCTAATAGTTCAACGACCCCAGCAGGGTCTTCGGCTACTACGCAAAGCAATGCATTGAATGATTTGGTTAGTTTGATATAAAGAATAGGTTCATGACAGATCAGGTGGAGATTTGAACAAGTTACTTTATTGCGTAGATTTCTTATTTGATCTCGCGTGATTTTTGATATTATTTAATTGTTAACGGAAAATTAACGTTAAATGTAATTTTGAGTCATAACTATATTTATATTATATATAAAAGAAAGATAATTATAGAATCTGTATATTACAAATATATATAATACCTAAGGTAATCTTTCTACTAACATTTACACTATATTCAAAATTATTCCTCATTATACATTAGAAAATATAATAGATAAATTATAAATAATTATTAATAGCAATACAAAATAAATCAATGGTTTATTATTCCCAAAATAGCCAACACTTCTTTCTTTCGTTGCATAAGATTTATTTCGTCATCATCAGTAAGGGATGAAGGTGACGACGCTCTGGCATTTTGTAATCTTGCCTGTTGTGTTTCATCATCCTGAAATATTAATTCATCCTCGTCATCCTCCTCCTGCTCTTCTTCCTCTTGGACATCATTTGAATCCGGATCTTGGCGATCCTCTTCGTCAAACATTCTGTCAGATGATGATCTTCCCTGTCGTGATAATAGTTTCCGACATTGCCGAATAAGATGTAATGTTTTGATTGTTCTCAATATATCATCATCTGGAGTGAAACGATTGTTAGTGAATGGCAAATAGAATTGACCATGAACGGATGCAAAGTACCTTCACGATAATTTTTTCCCGATTCAACTGGGGGTGTTTTCGAAGGTGTTATTGATATTGGAGGCGGCGGCACAGGAGGAAGTGGTGGAAATAATATTTTGGCATCCATTATTATAGAAACGACAATTTTATCGCCATTGACTAATAATATAAAAGCGTGAATAAATCACCACAAAGATAGTATAAAAGCAAATCTGAAAATATCCAATATAAATACATTGCGAATCCCTCAATGCTTTTTCAACTAATTCTAATGGGAAATTGGGATACTCCTTGAAATAATAGATCATATCCTCTTGTAAGGAGGATTCTGTTTCCTAAGATTTTTATAAAATCATAAAATTCAATATAGGCAAATGTTAATAAGCTCGCAATCCTAATAAAAAATATTTATATTCACCGACAACATCCTTGTCTGCTCGTGTGACAAACTTTCTCCTGCACCATTATAGTAAATTAGCTCCAATAATAATTCAGTTGCCATCTATCGAATAAAGCGGGTAGAGGTTTGAGTACAAGAATCTTCGATCCCAATGAATTGACTATCGTAAAGACTTACCTGAATTGTTATAGGACGACATCGATTATAATATTCGCACAAAAGTAAAACGAGCTTTGAAATAAGCTCGCGTCGATAATTCACCCTCGACGACGCTAGTGTCTCAATATGATTATGGTTATTTTCATTCTGAATGTTAACATCGACATAAGAATCATCATCAGCAGAAAATATTCTTATCGCGGGAATTACCATATTATTATAACTTGAAATATGATCATTATGTTCATTTTTTGTGTGTTTATCTGAGGAAACATCATGTGACGCGTCTGATATATGGATGTCACTATTATCAAGGACACCAATGGACTTTTCGGATTTCTCGTTTGTGTCTGAAAAAAAAGTTTTTTCATGTGATGCAGACGTGGCAGATGAAGCCATCGAAACAGATTCCATTGAAATCTGCTGACTGTCATCTAATTCGTTTAATAAATCTTCGGAACTTGATGTCTGTGTTTCCTATTTGATAGTGATGTTAGAGATCGAGTTTTCTTTGGATAACGTTATGGACAACGATTAAAAAACGCATACCATGAGATTTTGAGTAATTTTCAATTTCTGAGAATAAACTCCCGTACCAATCAACACATCTGGTGCTATTGCATGATTCCGACATGACATGTATATTAAACATAGAGCAGGTAATGTAGTTAAATCGAAGAATTCATTATCATCCGACTCTTCATCCGGTGTTAAACAGTCAAATATTGCTTCTCGATATAGATTTCTAACCAACCATTAATTATGTAACAGCTAATTAATTACTTTTCCTCATAACGGAAATAAAGATTCTAATATTATTAACGTTTACCTCGACCCTGTCGTTATTGATGATGTGAATTCTGGTGATGATGCGGTGTCGTAGCTTAACCCATGTGGAATATCCGAAAAGAGCATCGCCACCATAGATGTGACTAACGGTGGGTATCGGAATATGTGTAACACATGACATAGGAGCGCGAGCGCGATAATTGGACTAATCCGGACATTCTTTGAATATTTTTTACTCGTTATTTTAAAACAAATAGGATAAAAAACAAGGCATCTATAAAATATGTTGTAGTAGATTCTTTACCTGTTGTTCGGATGGAGGCAGCAATTCTTCCCTCAATAAACTATCCGCATAAAAAGGCTTCAGCAATAATTCAATTACATGATGTGTTAAAACATCATTAATTTTTTTAATGTCCAAATTGATAATATCATTTATATAGTCGAAAATATCGCAATGTTCCGCCAAATAATAACTGATCTTTGAATGATGATTATTCTGACTGATAAATAAAAGAGATATTTAGGAAATACGTTTATGTAAATATAACGATAAAAAGGTGTTATGCGAAATACGACATAAATTTTTGAAGAACGAACAGACGGAACTAACTTACTATGGTTCCTTACTTAGTTCATTCATTGTAGACGCGTGATCCGCTATGAAATAGACCAAATTTGAAAAATATGGTGCCACTTTTTTGTTCAAAATAAAATCTTGTGTCTGTATGTCATTTACTAATGATAGAAAGCGAATTTTTAATTAAGAATCCAAAAATTAAGTTAAAATTATACGTTAATTTCATCTTACCTGCAAAAATATTTAGCGTGACTGTTCGAACAGCTACACGTATCATACTCTCTTCTGCATTAAAGAACTTGATTGCCTCGGAATATCTGAATTATTATGTCAAAATAATGAATGAGAAAAATGAAATTATAATCATCATCACAATTCTATTTTTCTAATTCACACGATAACTGTAATAGCTATTTCACTTCTTAATAGTTCAACCGGTTGATTGATTGATTGGTTGAATCTTTACTTACAGGGGGAAATCATCCAAATGCTGAATAAAATAATAAGAAATTTCATAAATGATGATATGATCGATTTTCACGAGCAAGAAAAAAAATATGAAAGATAAATACCTCATTAAAAAAGAAATATAAAGTATTGGTATCCAATTTGAAGGAAAGCGTCCGCAAAAAATAAATGTAATAAGCTAGAATTTCATCATTAGAAAAGTCGAATTCATGACAAATCACTCGATTCACGTAATTGTTTGATAAAAGAAAATCTAATGATCGAAAGAAAGGATAGTAAGCATCGAATTGAGTAACAATTTTTTTTGCTGATCCAGAATTCCGGCACTCACATAATGAAGTTAAGTCATGAATATTCTCAAACAAGATGTTCATCGTTTGTAGTAGTTGCTTTGTAACGAGTGGACTTTTTGTTGTTTCTAAAATTCGTAAGAAATGATAATGCATATTTTGCTCGAAGAAGTACCTAGAAATTAAGTATCAAGGATAATTACTGATCGATTACTTTTCAATGCAGTTCACATTCAACTTTACGATAAATCACACTCTCTCCCTAACCCTCAATTTACATACTCTAATATTGCTGGCTTATGCTGATCTCCTAAAATATGAAATATATATTGAGAAATAAAAAAAGAAAAAAAAAGTGAAAATCTAACAAGCTTTTTTAATATTAGAACATACCCCAAATTAAAACCTGGGTAATCTCTTTGATGGTCTCAACAATTTTTTCATCATAATAAGAGTCAACTGTATATTGTTCAAGTATATCACCTAATTGCCTATAAAAAAAGAAAGCAAAAAGAAGCAGTATATTAAAATGAGACCATAATCGAAAATTCTATTTCTTAGTACTGTGATTCAAATGAGACCATAATCGGAAATTCTATTTCTTAGTACTGTGATTCATACAGAAAATCCCAAGAATTAAATATTTCGATTGTTATTTGATCTCGTCAATTACTATTATTTCCAAGAGTAAAAAAAAGATTACTAACTAAGTCAAATACGACATGTCACATTCCCAGAAAACCGAATAAATAAGTAGACTTTGTATGTTTTCGTTGCACAATTAAGTTTTTTCTTTATCTAATGCACTCATGTCTCTCACGTACTAGTAACTAATAATGCTGTTACAACAATAATATGCAAAATCCGATAATAGTATTGTCTGCTTCTCCATATATTTGACTGATAGACCCACCTTAAATTCTCCAAAGAATATTTTTCAACTTTTGGCACCCTTGACATCCATCTCCCAAACATCGACTGTCTAGGTCTGGCTGAAGCTGTCGATGAGTAAAAGACAGAATTATTGTTATAACTTGTGTTGTTAATCGTAGGAAACCATTCTAAATAGCTGGTCATTTTCTCGAAAAATAACCTTACCTATAATCATATGGTGGGAAACTATAAATGATGATAAATTAAAATCTTCGTATTACGATAGAGGAATGTCGAAAACTTGTCTTTAGCCCTGATTTAGTGCTATCCAGTGATAGATTGCATCACCCGATTATAGTAAATTTTTCGATAAAAAGATCCGAGACGCGATATCTCGACATCCAGTGGTCGAACTCGAGCGGAAATACTACCATTCGATTTGTCTCAGCTGAGACAAATCGAATGGTAGTATTTCCGCTCGAGTTCGACCACTGGATGTCGAGATATCGCGTCTAAATTCGCAATCTGAGGCACAAGTATAGCTTGCTTTTATTCGATTTTCTACATAATTTGTCACGTAATACGAATAATATTATGGTATGCATCGGGTAATAATAAAAAACTTAAAGTTGGAACGGGAAAAGCGTTATTCAGTTACTAAATAGTCAAAAAAAAATACATATTATGAAATTATCCTAATTTGTGTGGGATTTGAAATCCTGAATCAACCTAGGTTGATTTGGAATTTATCAGATTCCCTTCCGATTCATATCAAGAAACATAACAAAAATTTGAGAATATTAATTTATTAATATTCGTTTTTTTTTTAATGTTCATTCTGTGATTTTTTAGAGCGGATTTTTCCCTTAAGCATTATTAAGAAAATAAAGATCAAAAACTTCTATTAAATTTCTTTTCTTGAATTCATTTTCAATTTGTCTCATTCGAACTATATAATTTCGAGATTTTATCAGCTCTGTAAAATGAGAACGATCAAATGAAAATGGCAAATGTCCAAGTACTAAAACATAAGTAGGTCTACCTACCTTTTGATGATACATTGTGAACAACTACGTTGGAAGGTATTGCGGATTTTAATTCGCCGTAAGTCAGAGTTACCTTAATATTAATCCTAATTTTTTTCAAAGAAAGAAAGAAAGGAATTAATTAAATTATTAATTAAAATACATACATGCCAAAAGAAAAATAATCGCACCCTTGCGCAGTCTGAACGCGAAATTCGAAAAAACTGCAAGCGTTATTTGACACAAAATCATTATTATCATTTCTTTTTCCTAAGATTTTGTGCACGAGGGAAAACTCTTCTCGTCGCGTTACGTAAGCTTGGAGATAATCATCCACAATTTCTAGAAATTTCTAAAAAAAAAATTCGTGTTATTGTTGGAGGTTAAAAGGGATAAATTAGGGAAGAATTTCTTACATCCATATTATCATTCAGGTATGCTGTTTCTAGTTCTTTCAACGGGATAAAGCTTGGAATCGTATGTTTAGCAACAATTAATTTTTCGGTATTCAGTTCATTTTCTACAAATATATAATAGGGCTCCAAAATCTTCCCTGCATGATATTAAAAAACTCTTTACTATTGATCAGATTGCATCGCCTTATCCAAAACAATGATTGCTATTGACCATTTTTACCTTTAAAAAAGGTTTCAAATCGTAACCCAACTCGATTTTTTTTATCCTGAAAAATGGTTTTTCCCGTCATATGATACGCTTGTAATAATTCTTCAATTTTCAACCTGTCGGAAGCTTTTTGTTGGAAAAGCTGCTCAAATATGAAGATTGGGAAAGTTAAATTATCTTTGTAAAAGATATATCATCAATTGTATCGTATCCCATACCCTCGCCTTATTGTTAGCATCGCTTTCCTTCCTGCTTAATGCATTTTCTTCCTTTCTGTTCATTAAATTATCACTTACGTGGGGAGGAATGTTTTTTTCCTCATTATCTAAAGTGAGAGTCAGTTCCTCTCGTTTTTTTATAAGCCTACGTACTAGGGATTAAAAAAATGCGCGAGAAACAAAAGTTAAGGATAAAGAAAATGTCTGCATTCTCGCGTGAAAAGACTTTACATTCACGACGCAAATCTTCAATATCAGCTTCGTCCTGTTTCTCTGAAGAGAAAAACGGGAATTGTGTTCCTTTAGGAGAGAGATGACTGTTAAGACTTGATATAATAAAAAACGTTTTAGAAAGTTTCAAGTGTAAGGATAAAAATTTCAATACATAAAAAAAAATTATTGTACAATACACGGGTGAAAAAGATGACATTTGGTAATAACGATAAATGATTTTGGCGCGTCCCTTGGTTTATGCTAATTTTTTGAACCAATGAAAGCTATCCAACTTAAATAAATAATTATACATGTCGCAAAAGATAATATTTCTACAACAAAAATATTGGAACTTTCTCTTCCCAGTGGCATATTCACATCTTTAACGTAGAATGGATGAAGGCAATAATCGCGAACACGAAAACGTACGAATAGAACGCTAAATCAAGAAATGTCTGTTTGACTACTCGTTTCACGATCGATTATTGTCATTTCATCATTGATATTATAATTACTGACTTCCGGTATCGACCCTATCTCCACATGAATACCAAGTTCTTCGAACTCATGAGTATCGTTGTTATCGTCTGTTTGCATTGAATCACTGGTCTCTTGTGATCCTTCAGGCAAATACGGGATAATATATTTAATCGCATACTCCCGTATTGTTTCCCAGGAGTGTTCATCGAGTGCCGGATACTGTTGGTAGATAATATAACCATACAGTCCTTCACGATTGTTCCTTTGTGCAAGAAGATAAATTCGAAGAGTTTCTTGTTCAGATTTCGATAAGAGGTTTTGATGAATTCTAGGCTGAGTTTTTTGACCGGCGGCTTCGTTCGCTAACAGCTGAGGAATAATATTTTTGATAGCACGGTTTCTTATTGATTGCCAAGTGTGGCGGTTGTTTGGTGCTTGATATACTTTATAAATCATATTTCCACTTAATGCTGCTCCTTCACTCTTTTTTTGTATAATGTATTCCTGTAAGTGCGCATCCTCTTCGGCCGTAAAGGCAGAACGAACTTTATCCGAACCACTGGTTGATTTTTTAATCTTCGTCATTTCCGATAAAAATTATTAGGCGGGAAAGAATAAAATGGCAGTTTTAAATTAAATGTTCAGTGTGTATCGAGAAAAGGTTAAATTGAAAATTGTGAAAAAAAAAGAATGGTTTGTTTTCAAAGATAAAAATCACGTCGCGTATGACTAATCATTCAATGTATCAGTATATATTTTCGGGCCTTTATTTTGAAACATTACTTTGTGATCAAAATTCGTTTGATTGGCCAGTCTAATCTCCATCCAATCCTTGGATACGATCCTTCGAGAATATCATTAATCTAAGAAACGCGCAAATTCCTCATAAAATAATAATGCAATCGAAACGGGCAGTCAAACGCCTACAAGCCATCGTCAACTCGCGAAATATCAGAAAGTGTATGCGCTGACAAAGATACTCAGAAAATCTTGGGAAACGTTGAGATATTCCTAAGGATGTCTGACAGCAGCGTTTTTGAGCCGAACTGGGTTTCAAAATGGAAAATATATAAAAGGAAGTTAGGACTCTAGTTTAGGAAAAGTGCGAAACTATGGCGCGATTTCTACAGCATTAAGCATATCCTCTTTTTTATAATCAACCTTTTAATTTCTTCTTCAAAACCTTCAATGATACATCATTAATGCTATATAAATTTTCTTTACTATAATCATAAATATCCTCATTCATTATGAAAGTTCTGTTGATTCTTTATTTAAGCACTTTGGGACGCAAGAAGCAATAAGTTTTCTCTGAAGATGATGGATGATCTTAAGAAATTCAAAAATTTTACGCAAAATTCAAAGAAACGATTACTCATTTTGAGCCCATAAAGTTAAAACATGTTCGATATTACTTATATACCGTCTGCTTCTGATAACGAAGTAGATGCTGGTGATAAATTGGAAGAAGAATCAATGATGAAGATCATGTTGATAGATTACTGCCTTATTTCTGAGATGCCAATTTGAGTGTTCAATAATCATACATTCCTGGATCTGGTAAATATTTAGTCTCACAAATGAATTCTGTACAATGGAAAAATGGACGAAATGCTTTGAGCTAGTTTCCATGTACAGGATCTGCAGAATTTGTGTCGGTCAAGTGGAAATACATGCCCGTATTCCGTATTTACAGGATTTAAAGTGTTTTGATGGTTTATAATGTATGAATTTGACACAAGTCCAGTAATAGAAATAAACATTTACAGGAGACCACGGGATCGGACAGCGAAGTGCATACACAAGATCCCAACTATATTTGAATAAGTGAAACATTTAATTGAAAGGTCTTGATCTTCTCTTGCTAATAATGGCGAAGATAAAAATCTCTCATTACACATTACAATTGCTATTGACCAGCGCAGTTCTCACAAGGCGCAGTGAACTGGATAAACGTCATATCTGCACTGTTAAATCAAAACCATATAAACTATAGCGAATTTTTTGATCCGTTGCCATTTACATGTGTTTAATCGAAAAATCTAAAATGAATATCTCCACTAATTGTTCGCGCAGAATAAGGTTTTTTTTTGGAAACTTATGTATCTACCTGATCTCTCATAGTTTTTTATTTACATCAATAATTAGTAATTGTTAACTGCATATAAAACTATTCATTATCGATTTCGAAAAAATTATTTTTTTTTCTCCTGGCCTGGCAAAAACAATAATAAAAGAATCCTAGTAACAATAAAGTAAAATAATAATGTCGAATACTAACGCAACGTCCAAAGGACGGTCCACCGATGACAATGTTAACCTCAGAGAAACACCTGACGTTTCTGAAATCACACCTTTACTTCAGGTTCCAACACAACCATTTTCTGTAACAGACGATACAAATTCTGTGATAGATGAGTTCCCAAGGCTAGAAGATACTCCTATGTCGGATGTAGATGGAGATGCCTTGTATGATTTAAAGGAAACCTTTTATCTAATAAGAAAAGCGATACCAGTTCTTTTGACATATCTTATGCAATATTCGTTACAGGTTGCTTGTATTTTTTCGTTAGGGCATTTGGTAAGTCAGATTTTTTCAAAGTTAATTGCTTAAAGTTGGGCATTTTAATTATTATTATCATCGTTATACAGGGATCAGTAGAATTGGCCGCTGCTGCATTGGCTTCAATGGTAAAATCACGCATGTTTTCTATATAGAAATGGCATTTTATCGTTAATTTCTAATCTATCTCTGAATAAATTAGTACGCCGCGGTAACTGGTTGGTCTGTCGCTATGGGTGCTGCATCAGCATTAGACACACTATGCTCGCAAGCATGGACATCAGGTAATCCAAGAATGGTAGGCGTATATCTACAACGATCCATTATTATAATTCTACTTGGATTTTGTCCGATTGCCATCACTTGGTGGGAAGCAAATAATATTCTCGTCTTACTCGGACAAGACAAAGAGCTGGCTCAAAAAGCGGGTTTATTCTTGAGGTATTTACTAATTGGTGCCCCGGCTTATTTGGTCTTTGAATGTTTGAAGAAGTATTTACAGGCTCAAGGCAAATATCTCGTATATAGCGATAATGATTTTTAATGATCTTTTATGATAGACTAATTTCTCATCTGTGAATTAGGCATTATGAAAGCTGGCACTTATGTTTTGATAGTATGTTCGATTACGAATGCCCTATTAAACTATGCATTAGTCTGGTATGAACCAATATCTCTTGGTTTTATCGGTGCACCAGTCGCAACGTCGACAACCTATTGGCTTATGCTTATTCTCTTGACTTTATATACGAAATATGTGGATGGCTATCAAGCATGGGGCGGTTGGACACGTTCTTGTCTTCGCGACTGGGGCTCATTCTTAAGACTCGCTTTGCCGGGTATTTTAATGGTGTGCGCTGAGTGGTGGGCATTTGAATTGGTCGCTCTTGCTGCTGGATACCTTGGAAGTGTTGCGTTGGCAACTCAAAGTATCGTATTAACAACCGCGAGCTTATTCTACCAAACGCCATTTGGTATTGCGGTGTCTACTTCCAACAGAGTTGGCAACTTTCTTGGTGCTGGGTTGGCTGGTCGTGCCAAAATGTCAGCTAAAATGTCACTGGTGCTCTCTGTCGTTTTTGCCTGTGTAAATACATCTATCTTATTGGTCTTTAAAAATGAATGGGGGTATGTAAGATCGCCTGTCTGATGATCTTTTTTTATTAATTTTCAATTTTCTAATCATTCTTATCATGAACAGATATTTGTTTACCAAGGACCAGGAAGTTGTTGACATGGTGGCAAATATCCTACCATTGTGTGCTTATTTTCAGGTAATTGAACAATCATTTATTAAGTAATTAAAAAGATTAATATCTAATTTGTGTATTTAAAATAATACTGAAAAGATTTCAGATGGAATATCCGCAATAAGCGGTGGTATTCTCCGTGGCCAGGGGCGTCAAAAACTTGGGGCAATATGCAATCTTGCCGGATATTATTTGGTTGCGCTTCCATTGGGCCTTTCTCTTGCATTCAAATATAATCTTGGCTTAAAGGGAGTTTGGATTGGCTTAACGTGTGCATCATATCTCGTGTCATCCGCTATATGCTGGGCAATTATCAACACAGATTGGAAATGGGAAGTGGAAGAGTGTCGTCGCCGAATTAAAATTGTTAATGCCGAAATGAAAACTAATGGTATGCGAAATGGTTATGGCACAGATTTGGAAGAAGGCTTTCCTGGAGATAATACAAGTATGGCAGCAGGCGTTGGAAATGGTATTAACTAAGAAAAAAAAAAAAAGGGAGAAATCTAAATGACAGCGAACAATAAACACGTTGTAAAGAAATTAATTAATTTTAAAAACAAATAAAATTAAAAATAGTAACCATACGGCTGATCAATGAACTAAATTGGGTATAAAGCAGATCAAAATCTGTATTTTCAGCTGACCCTCTTCCATTTTTATTTATAATAAAATCCTCTTTCGCATTTATTCGCAAATGTGACTTTATTGTCTCCTTATTCTGCTAGCCTATGATGTGCAGATACTTCCTCAACTTTACGTTGGCTCCGCTCAAAAGGCGGAATAAACTGCGCTCCTTATATTATTAACAACTTCCGCCGCGCCACAAATTTTACAATTATAGAGAACCAAATTATTAATATGCCCACCGAAAATACACCTTTAATTTCTTCGTCTGGGACTTCGAGAGATGAGGTGAAAACCTCTCCATCACAACAATCACCTTATGCAGTGAATCAAAACATCAACATATCTGATGCTTTAGCTGATAATTTAATTTCCTCTTCTATTGATGGAACGTCAATTTTTATTCCTGGACAAGAAAAATTATTTGATTATAATGAAGCAAAATTTCTGATAAAGAAAGCAACGCCTTTGTTAGTCACTTATCTTTTACAATATACCTTACAAGTTGCTAATGTATTTTCTTTGGGAAGACT